GGCTTTCTCTGTATCTTTGGAGGCTGTCCTGGAACTCGCTCTGTAGACCAGGCTGGCCTCGAACTCACAGAGATCCGCCTGCCTCTGCCTCCTGAGTGCTGGGATTAAAGGCGTGCGCCACCAACGCCCAGTAAGCATGCTGTTTCTAATTAGTTCCTCTTGCCTCATACACATCAACTGTATAGCATAACCACTGGCAGTTTAGGCTGTTTAATATTGAGTTTCCAGATTGCTTCCTGGAGTCTGGGGAGATGGCTCAGCTGTTAAACTCTAGGCTCAAAACCAAAAAGACAGAGGAGGGGGTCGGATGAAGACCTGGCTCTCGAGCACAAATCTCCACCTTTGTTCATGCTAGTTGGGGACTCAGGCCTGAGCTGAGACATGGAAGGATTATTTTGCCTTGAGGCTTAAGGTAGAGAAGGCTGAATCTGGGTCAGTGGAAAAGGAAATCTGGTAAACATATTCATGCTTAGCCACCCCCCTCCAAGTAATTTGTATCTTCTGTCGGAGTCAGAGAGTGACCTGAGTTTAGGTTCAGTAGCAGAGTCCGTCCATTTAGTTCTGCGGATCCGAGGAGACTCGAAACACACTGGACACTGATGGGGAGTAATAACAAGATGTTTTCTCCAGCCTTCTTGCATACTAGATGGGATTCCAAGGCTTGGGAGAGGAAGTCACCCTTTGCTAGGGTGAGAAGACAGGTTAGCCAGTGTCTAAGCACGGGCCACTCCATGTGTCCTTGTTATTCCTGCAGCAGCTGACTGGGGCTCTGTAGTCACACTGGTGCGAACAAAGTAAGGGCTCCAAGAAGGACGGAAGCCGCCTTCTGAGAATATTGATGTTGTCACTGTTCCAGAACCTTCCCCCAAGTTAGGCCAACTTTTGCATTTCTTCTCTCAAGGTCTCCCGCTCTAGGCCCATCTCTTGTTTGACCTCCTCTTCTTTCTCCCAGAAGCCTCCCTGGCTCCTACATAGAACACACACCTTGCATGTTTCAGTAGTCACCTGCAAAGGCCAATGGACCTCATCAAAGGTTTCATTCTAATGCCAAGATGGTTTAACACCGTTCATGAACCAAGACAGCATGAAAAGTTTTGTTGTTTACATAGTGGCAGTTTCTAGGGACAGCAGGTCCCAAATGGCTTGAGAGCCAGGAAGGAGGATAACCTGGATTTTCGCTGTGGTTGGGGGTGAGTGTTCACCCAGGGAGGGGCTCTGGGACTCTCCTTCCCTTGGACAATGAAGGGAGGCCCCATCTGTTCTCGAGGGCTTGTCCAGATGTGAGCCATTAGATTGAGAACCGGGAGAGGCCTGAAGGTTGTCCACTGACACAGCAAAAGCCGAGCTGGGGCCCATCATTTCCCATGCATCCTGTGTTTCCAGGCAGGTCCGTTCTGCGTGAGGAAGAGCTGACAGTGTAAAGTCAACTGGATGGATGAGATGAGGCCATCTAGATAAAGTCCTTTAGAACAAAGAGTTTCAGCCCTGCAGCATGGAACTGGGAGTTCTCTCTCCAGATCTCCAGCCCAGGCTCAGACAGTCCACGGTTCCCTCCATACCAGTCCACCCCCATAGGTCTGTCTGACACTTCCTACATTCCTCAGTCGGGTCTGTCTGTCTTCTACCAGTCTCCCAGATCCTGCTCCCACGTTCTCTCTGGACACTCCTGTAGACTGGAAATGCCATCCCTCATCCCTTTCCTGCTCCTGGTCCCCAGATCGGACATGCTGGTCCTTCCTGTTTGGGATAGTTTACAGAGATAAGGCCTGGCATGGAGCCCATCTGTCATCATCACATGACTCAAAGCTATTTTGGGCAGGACCCCTATCTATACCAAGTGTCCATCCTGGCCCTCCTGGCCCTGGCTATCGATACTCCTCCAGGAATAAGGCCAAGAACCAAGGGAGCTACCCAGAAGGGCAGAGGCAATGGCTCAACTCCCATCTAACTTCCTGTTCCTTGACCCCAGGACCCCAGAAGTCTCTTAAACCTTTGGTGGCTTTAGCCCACAAGCCAAAACATGAGAGGCTGAGTAGCTCTGGAAGTTACAGCTTGAATTAACATCATTCTAAGGGTGGCCAGGGACAAGTGTCCCCTCCCAAATGTCACAGAGAAAACTGTTATCACAGCTGCTCTTGCTTAGGTATGTCTGACTGTCTGAACAACATCTGCCTGGAGTTTCTCTTAAAGACACAGCTGTGGCCGATGGCTTCCAGTCCAAGCTCTGCCTTACTCCCTTGCCATAATTTGCATGGCTTTGGACATCCAAGTACACTTCTTAAGCTTTGTTCCCTCACGAGGCAAACAAGGACGATCCTGACTTTCACAGGGAGCCTGGAAAGATGAAGCGAGTCTGCCCCGAGATGCCTGGTAAGCTGTGAAGTCAGACTAGATCACTTCCTGGGCTCTGATTCTAAAGTTGTGCTCCTAACTGTACTTGGTTAAGAATGCTTTCTGCTCAAAAGCCAGTCTTCGGGAGCTAGCCTGAGCTCCATGGTGGACATATACCAGGCTGGCAAGATGCCTCAGCATGTAAAGTACTTTCCATGCAAGTGATGACCTGAGTTTGACTTCAGAACTCATTTAAAAGTGGAAGGAAAGAAGCAGCGATCCCACGAGGTTGTCCTGACTGCCATATGCATACCGCTGCAAGTTCTTTCTTTCTTTCTCTTTCTCTCTTTCTTTCTTTCTTTCTTTCTTCCTTCCTTCTTTCTTTTCTTTTCTTTCTTTCTTTCTTTCTTTCTTTCTTTCTTTTTTTTTTTTTTTGGTTTTTCAAGACAGGGTTTCTCTGTATTGTTTTGGAGGCTGTCCTGGAACTCGCTTTGTAGACCAGGCTGGCCTGGAACTCACAGAGATCCGCCTGCCTCCACCTCCCGAGTGCTGGGATTAAAGGCGTGCACCACCAATGCCCGGCTTTTTGGTTTTTTAAGACAGGGTTTCCCTCTGTAGCTTTGGAGACTGCCTGGAACTAGCTCTTGTTGACCAAGCTGGTCTCGAACTCACAGAGATCCGCCTGCTTCTGCCTCCCAAGTGCTGGGATTAAAGGCATACGCTGCCACTGCCCAGCCCACTGCAAATTCTATATGCTGAGTGGGCCTTTGCTGCTGGCAGCTTACATCTCTGGGTTTTTTTTTTTTTTTTTTTTTTGGTGTGTTTGTTTCATTTCTCCCCCTCTGGCCAGAACACTGCAATGGACTTTATCTCCTGGGACTAGTTCCTGTATGTTCCTAAAACAGAGGGGCTACTTCTCAGGAGCTAAACAGCACAGAAGTGAATATGCACTCGTTTGCAGGAAAAGACAGGGTAGCAATGTTACAAAGGTCATCGGATCTTCTGGTATCTGCAAAGCCAAAGGAAGGTTGTTTAGCAGTTATCATTTTAACCATTTAGGTGGGGCATTTAGTTAGAATTCACTGCGCCAGGCAAGGGGGAGAGAAGTTGCAAGTGATGGCTGAGGGAGGGCACTCCCAGAGGAGAGGCCTTGTCACTCCAAATCTCACCAAAATCTGATTTGTCCTTAAGTGTTAATCATTAGCATAATTGTTAAGAAGGGTTCTGGGGTTAGATACTGTGCTATTGGAATCCTAGCTGTGTGGCTTCGGCCAAATTGCTCAACTTCCCTGAGCCTAGGTTGTTCCCATCTTAAAGCAGAGGACACCTTGATGACCGGTGTGAGGACTTAATAATTGTAGGACATGTCTTCTAGTAGCTTAACTCCAGACTCATCCGGGCTGCTCCTGCACCAACGTAGGCACTTGGGACTGCAAAGAATTCAAACTTAGTTTCTGCAGGAAGAGCTGCTCCCCTCCCCCTCCAGGGCTGTGTCTACAAAGGAGCGCCCCACATGTAGAGACAGCCCTGCTCCCACCCAGAAGTAGAGTGACAGGTACAGACCCAGACTTACTAATTGTCATTAGTGAAAGGCAGCACTGTCCCTAAGGGCTGCACCTTTGGGTTCGGGAGATAAGATCATCCATGTGGAAATGAGCCTCTTCTATGGTCACACTTCGTGGATGGTGAATTCACACTCCGAAGCAGAATCCCAACTGATTTCCTGCATTCCTTTTTCCTTACTGTACACATGTGGCAGGTGATAAAAACTGACTTGAAAAAGTAGTATTTGTAAAATACATAGTTCCTGCTACATATAGTGTTTTCTTATTTTTATAAGAACATACAGAAAATGATGTTCAGGAAAAATGAGTCTTTATTCTGCAATAGCAGAAATCTGAGTTAGACTCAAAAAAGTCCATAATGACCTCCTGGAGTTCTCTTTCAGTTTGATTCTTTCCTGGATAATGAGGTCTCCACACGGCACCACCTAGTACATGACTATTGAGGATTGAGGTCCCATTCACTGCCCTTAGAGACAAATGGTGCCCTTTGCGAATTACGATTACCGATAGGTTATCATCACCACCGCTAAATATCTGTCTGGCTTTTGGGAGGAGCTGGTCCTGGCTGGGATCAGGATGAGAAGAGGTGGGTAGGCAGGACATAACATCGAGGGCACTGAGTATGAAGAAGAAGGTCCGGAGACCCGCAGTCACCTCTTAGGAACTCACAGGGGAGCGGAGGTCCGCATTCCAGGCAACCGGGCACCGACGACAGTTCAACGAAGAGCCAACTCCTGGCCTGAGCAGCCCGGACCGTGGTGGTGGTTTTCCTTTGCCAGTTGTAGCCACAGCGAAGCCTAGACAAATCCCACCTCCGGCCCCGCCCGTCCAATCAGTCTTGCACCGAAGGCTATGCTTCTAAGGAGAAGCAAGCCGCTGGGAGGGGAAATCCGGTCTTTAAGGGCTCCCGACAGGTGTCTGAGAGAGAGGGCGGAGTCAGGGTAGGAATGATGGAGAGGGAGGGGCGGCGCTGCCCCTTTAAGAGGCGGCGGCCGAGCGGGGACCTTTTCTCTTTCCCCGGAAGGAAAGCGGAGCCCGGGCTGGGCGCGCAAGGTGGGGAGGTGCAGGGCTGGGCAGTGGGGAGGCGGGGCACGCGCTGGAGAGAATCCCTCCTTCCTGCCCTCCTGGCGGTGGAGGGTTTGCCTTTCAGTTCCTTCACCTAGCTGGGATCCAAAGAGCTAACACCGCCAAGGGGGCGCGGCTAGCACCATCTAGGGAACCGGGTGCCGGGAGTCGGGCACGGTGACCTGTCCACCCGACTAGCGGGAGAATAGATCCACGGACCGAATAGATCCACGGACCTGGAAAGAGGATTGGAGAAGCGCCACCCCAGAGCAGACGTGAAGCTGACCCGGACTAGGGAAAGAAATTGCCTAGGACTCCGGGCTCAGCGGCGCTGCGGGCTTGGGTGTCCTCTGGCGGCGCCTGGAGCAGGTGAACCGTTCGCCACCCCCAGTGCCGAGCCCTCTCGTGTTTTCGCCTGGCCCGGGTGCTCGCAGCCATGGGCCCAGGCCCCCGCTGCGCGCCCGGCGATCCTGGCTGGATGCTCGGAGCCCTGGCCTTGATGGTGGCGGCTAGCGGCCGGTTCGCCTTCGCCTTCAACCTGGACACCCGATTCCTGGTGGTGAAGGAGGCGGTGAACCCGGGTAGCCTTTTCGGCTACTCGGTCGCCCTCCATCGGCAAACCGAGCGACAGCAGCGCTACCTGTAAGTCAGCCTGGCGGCGGTGAGGTGGGGTACGAGAGGGGGTCTGCGCCGCTGATGCCTGACCTAAGCGAGTCGGAGCCCTGGGCCCACTGACTTCCAGGCCTGCTGCTGCTGGCCTTTCCTTGTGAGCCAGAATTAAGGGGGCGGGTACGCCCGCAGCCCTCCGATTGTGGGGCTTGGCGGGAAGTGGATGATGGGGGGCAGTAATCATAGCAAGTGCTGACCTGGCCAGAACCTGTCTAGACGCGGCCGCTCCACGCTGCAGACCTCTTCGGAGAGCAGAAGTAGGGTCTCTGTTGCCCAGCACCCTGAGGATCCAGTATCTAACATTAGCTTCTTCCCTGTCGGGGAGAGCACTGTAAAGGAAACACGTATCGCATCCTTCTTCCCCTCCGCCTGAGCAGAACCCGAGATGGATGCGTTTAAGCCCCCATTACACCGCTCAGTTCGTTAGTGGCCACAGCAGCCACGCCCTCTGCAGAGCCCGGCTGGACGGCTTCTCAAGGGCTTGGCATTGCAGAGTGATGTGATGAAGAGGCTGGGCGTTTGGAGCTGTCCAGAGGCTCCGTCAGACCCCTGGAGGAACAGACAGTAGAAGACAGAGGAGGCGCTGTCTTAAGCCTCAGAGGCCAGAGCCCACCCGGAAGCAGTGGGGTACTCCCACCAGACGTCTCCCTGCATTCCACAGATTCATGTTGAATCAGCAGCCCTGAGTGTGTTTGTTTTGGTTTGAAGAGGGAAATGGTGTTTTCTCTTTCTTCTGCTCTCCTTTGCAACAGCTGCAAGGAGCGGGAAGAGCTGAGCGGAGTGGAGGAGGGGAGAAGGGTGTATCCAGTCACCTGCCCCTCCCCGTGAACACTCAGGCCACACCAGTCGCATCCAGGTGTCTGAGGTTTCTCTGCATGGGTTCTGTGTGCTGAGGTGACTAGCTGAGGGACCGGGGTGCCCGGAAGAGTTGAGGCTGCCCAGGGAAACACAGTGGTGATCACACAGACCTTTGAGCTGGGTGGTCTGCCAGGCATTTACTCCTACCCGGCCACTGACAGTTACTAAATTAAAAGACACAGTCAAGGGTAGGAGTGTTGAAACCACTCTCTGCTCTGGCTGGGGCCTGTAGAAACTTGAGGAAGTTTGGAATGTTCAAAGTCCAACTCACTAAAGCCTTTGCCTCTGCCCTGCTGGCCCAGCCCATCTGTACTGCCCACCTGGACTTAGCCTCTACCCTACCTGGCCCCTGCAGAAGGTAGGGCCGCCACACCCTTCTCGCCCTGGCCAGGCAGATTTAACCTTCTACCTTTCTGAGACTCTGACAGCAGATTGTTGCTGCAGCAGTGCCTTTTCCTCCCGTGTCCTAGCCCAGAGCATAGTTTTCCTATGCTCTGATGCTGCTGAAGGTGCAAGGCCCGAGCTAACACAATGGAGGAGACCTGGGGAGAGTAAAACACAATTCTGCAGTGACCCCGCCCCACTTCTGTGACTTTGAGGGAGAGAGTCCCCTCCCAGGGGCCAGTTCCCCCAGGGTGAGGTTGTACCTTCCTACGTCTGCTGGCCTGAGGGGGCATCTTGACATGGTAAAGGAGAAGCTGAGTGTGCCCTCTCCTATTGTCTTGTCTTGGCTCTGTCTCTAACAGCTGGTAGAGATCACACCTTTCTCAGTGTTAGCAGTGCTTTAACGAGACGGTGTGTCCAGAATGGTCCTGGTGTGTCCAGTGGACACCAGAAGGCTCTGGGGCTGAGAACCTCTCCCACCTACGGGTCCTACCCAAGTTGGCCAAGTGAAAGACTTCTTCTTTCTTCTCCAGGCAGCTGGGAGAATGCTGAAACTAATGGGCCTCCAAGGGCAGATGGTTCTGACCAGATGGTCTTCTGTGTCTTGCCCACAGCTGCTTCTGTACCTTACTTAGCTCTGTCTTTGTCTAACTGAGTTCAGCTCTCCAGCCCTTTGGGAGAAGCAGCTGGGATACACTGCAGCCAGCTGTGTAGCCAGATGTGAGCAGCTGCCCCAGTGTTCTAGGGATAATAAGTCAAACTACAGTCTCAGGTTCCATCAGCATCCAAGACCCCTTGGAAGAGCAGGGTGGCTCACAGGCCTTCCTTTGGGGTCTGCCAGCTGTTCAGGGACTCCTGAGAGTATATGTACAATCATGGTTTTGTACATTGTCACTGGGGGACCAGGGAGGGGAGAGCTCTGTGTAAAAGTCCAAGATAGATGCTGGGTACCCCACCCATAACCCATGCTGCTTGCTTATTTACTTATTTATTTATCTATTTATTTATTTGAGACATGGTCTCTCTTATGTGGCTCTGGCTGTCTTAGAACTTACTTTGTAGATCAGGCTGGCCCTGAACTCACAGAGATCCACCCTCCTCTGACTCCCAATCTGTGACTAGGTCCGGCTCACTTTGAGCTTTTTGGTGCTACATAAGGCCCCTTAGATGGAGAAGAGCAGCTCATTTGGGAGGTGTTCCCTGACCGTCCCTGACTCTGCTCTGTTGTTCCCTCTTGTTCTGGCCTAACTTCACTGACAGATTCCTCTAGGTCCCCTCTCCCTTTTGCTGTTGGAAATGAGGCTGTCCCGGAAACCTGGGAGGGAGTGGCTCCTGGAAATGAGGTCATGCCTGAGGTAGGCAGGGGCCTGGCCTACCTGCTGTGCTCTCTTGAAACATGCTCCCTGAGCAGGGCAGGTTCCTGGCAGCCTTCGAAGCTCGTGCCAGCAGAAATGGCACAGCATCTGTGGCTGTGGGAACGAGGCCTGATGTGGTTTCCCCTTCTCCGCTGGATTTCTCCAGTGGCCATTCTAGGCCAAAAGGCTTTGAGAGGGGCAGGAGGTGGAGGGCTGATCTTGCAGAAAAGAAAGCAGCAAGGGGGGATTGGTATCCCGTGGGGTGGCATCCACCTGTCATGACAGGACTCAGAGAGGAAGGCAGGAGGATGAGGACTTTGGCAGCTTACTGGATGTCCAGGGTACACAGTAAGACCCTGTCTCAAAAAAGGGAGAAAGGAAATGTCCATTGCAGTGAGGTGGATTGCGGTTAGACAACTCAGAGAATGCCACCAAGTTTCAAACATGGAATCCCTACTGAAAGCCAGGGAAAAGAGAAAGGAGAGAACCAGTCTCGTCCTTTTTACTTAGGGCCTTGCCAAGAGCTCAGTCTTCCATCTTTTCATTCCCTCTTCCCTCCAGCTTGTTGCTCTGGTTCTAGGGCTGAGTCACCAGGGGGGCTGGGTAGGCAGAGCAAGGAGGGGTAGGGGAGGATGGTGAGGGCTGCAGTTTCAGCCGCCATAGGAGAGCCTCTGGGGAGGTGGCTAAATCAGGCAGCGGGGCATAGAGCTGGCATCCAAGAACTGGCCTCCCCCTTACTCAGGCTGGAGTAGCTGTCTCCTTCCCTACTGCCTCCATGCTGGTCATAGGAGGGGGACAGCGATGAAGACCCCCAGCGAGGCCCTGGGGGTTCCCCAAAATCCTCCCATAGGAGCCACCACACACGTCCCTGAAATGAAGCTGCTGGGTTTTCTTTGAGCATCACTCCACCCCCAGAGTCCCGAGGGCCTCTTCTTCTTTGGGGTGAGCCAGCCTGGTGCCCTGAACTCTCTTGGGTCCCATTCCCCAGTCTTCTCAGATCCTGCATTCTCTGTTCAGTTATTCTATTAGCTTTGAACTGCCTGGGAGAGATGGAGGTATAGAGGGCTGGTCAGGGTGAAGAGTTTCATTCCCTGCACTTGGAGCTCACGGGCTCCCCAGAGGCCAGGTGGGGCTTTCTAGATGGAGCCAAATGAAAGGATAAGGAGGTAGCCGTTGAGAGCCCTTGATCTTCCATTTCACCCATCCATCTGCTTGCAGGGCGCTCTCCGCTCCCCCGTGACCAGCTCGACTCCAGGACAGGAGGTTCTATCTCTTGAGAGCTTTACTTTGCCTTTGCCCCTTCTGTCTGTGGTTGGGGGTGGATTCAGTGGTGCTCTGGGAGAGGTCAGCTTTTAGATTTTTTTTTTTAAACCTGGACCCATTTACAACTTGCACACCAGTAAGGTCTGTCCCAGTCTAGGGATTCCCTAACCCTGACTTTACATATACCTGGCTGTGGTAGGAGGAAGGTGGACCCTACCCTCTGAACCCCTTCCTCCATCCATGTGCAGGCCTCTGGCTGTAGACCACTGCATCCTGGGCTGGGAGCCAGAGGGCCTTAAAGGGCCTCTGAACGGGCCAAGTGAGAGCTAAAAATACTCCAGGGGATGTGGGGGAGCTCCCAGTGGAATCTCTCAGGAGGGAGGAGCCTAGGGATTAGGGAATTGGCCCTTTCCCAGTCCCCATCAGTGGGCACAAGGCTGGCATCAGACAAGGGCAGGAATTCGAAGACTGCATGGGGTCTTATTCTAATCCAGCCATAATTTGTGTTTGGCTCTGCCTGTTCCATACCTCAGGCAGCTAAGAGGAGGGGTCCCTCAGTTACTCTCAGCGTGGGAGGCTTGGAGACCCTGCTAGGTGACTTAGGCAGGACCATGGCAGCCATAAGGGTGGTGCATGCATCATATCATATGCCCCCCAGGTCCCCATTCACCCACTGTAGCCTCCCGCTTTCCAAGCTCATTGTAGCGGACCCCACCGCCAACTCTAAGCTTCTCTCCCAGATGAGCCGATGCCAGCCTCATCCTCCCCTCCCCCAGTGGCCGCCTGCTATCCCCAGGATGTGAAAGACCTACTTCTGTTCATCCCTTACTCCTTCTAAACAATGAAGTAGTCTGTCCTTTTCTCTCTGTTTCAGGTTCCCTAACCTGCAGTATTGGAATTCCTGAGTCCCCAGAGAGAGTCTGGAGTCAAGTTAGGGCCAGTCCTGGTACCACAGAGTGCTCACACCCGCCATTCCTTCTCTGTCAGAGAGCCCATTTGTTTCCCCCAAACCCTGCAGTAGGGGGGTTCAACTGGATTCCCATTTTACAGACACTCAAGACTCATAGGGAAAAGAAATCACTCTTGTCGCGGTACGAGTCCAGGAAGCGGGTTCCTAGCTCCCAGGTTGAGATGTTCCCACAGGCCCTAGCTTCCTTCTCTCATTTGTCAAGCATGTCAGGAGGTGGGTGTGTGCCTCCGTTGAGCCAGGGTGGTCAGGCAGGTACCCTCCCTAGCCTGAACAGAAGTTGGCTAATGGCCTGGCTGTTACATCTGTTCCCTTACCCCTCCCTAGGGCGTTCACAACACTACTGTGGGGAAGTTTTGCCTCTGCCCTGAGGAACAGCCAGGAGGGTGACGTCTGAGCTGCAGGTGTGAGGTGCAGGCAAAGGTCCACCCCTTTCCTATTCCCCCAGGCCATGCATTCCTGACTCCCAATAGGCGGAGGCACCCCAGGCCCCAGCATGCCCGGACCCTGCCCTGCCTACTCCCTGCCCTTGCTCCCAGGTCCTTAGCAGGGCTGTAGGCACAGCCTTTGCTCAGCACTTCCTGACTGGTAAGAGGCCTGGAGCCTGGGAGCCTCAGGGCCACAGTGTTGCTGGGCTAAACAGAGGGGCACCTAGGAAGTTCTGCCACCCAGGAGGCTGAGTTGGCAGAAAGGCGGCAGAGGGCATGTTCTAATCAAAATATTAAAAGGCTACAGGGAGAAGGTATAAGAAAGAACTTGGTTCTGAAGCTAGACTGCGTAGCCTGTGGTAGATGGAGATCTTCTTTTACAAATACCCCAGGATAGTCTGAGATGGGATGTCAGGGCCAATCCCGTCTGCTCTGCTTAAGTTACCCCTTTGGTGTGGGATGGGGTTCCAAGGTTCTAGCCCCCTTGTGGGGAATTTCTTGGTGTCCCTAAAGATTCTGGGACAAGCCTCTTGTCCACTCCCACCCACTGGAACCCTGTTCTTAGGCCACACTAATATCCAGCCCCACCCCATACCTGTGTACTTGCCTCAAGGTGGGGTTGGGCAGATGGAGGCTTCACTCACCTCACATAGAAATCTGTGCCTCCTAGAGCTGTGTGCTCGATAGTTCTGAGAGGAGAGATCCAGGCTTCCGACAGCTCACCCATCCTTCTCTCTTCTGCCTGCTGCCCCCAGGACTTGAACCCATTTCTTCACATCTACCTTTACCTCTGAGGCCAAAGGATTCCTTCAAAATCCCAGATCTGGGGCTGGGAATGCCCCTCAGGTGGTAGAGCGCTTACCCAGTATTCTGGAAGCCTTAGGTTAAATTCCTAGCACTACACCAAACTGAGCATGGTGGTACACACCTGAAAGCCCCAGCATTTGAAAGCAGGGGTATCAGAAGTTCAAGGTCATCTTTGAATAGGGAGTATCCTTGCCTCGGCTCCATGAGACCCTGTCTCAAAAAGAGAATGAAATAAGGAACAAAACCAGAGCTGACCTTGTCACTGCCTTGCTGGGGTCCCTCTGTGGTTCCTCTAAAGCATTTGTCATGGCCTGTATGCCTCCTGCCATGTTCTTCCTGGGTTCTGGTTGTACAGAGGGCTGGTGTCTGAGTCACCAGCTCGCTCATGCTTCCTGGCCCTTGCACATATTGTACCCTTGTCTCAGGCACTCTTTCTCCCTTCTTGGGTGACCCTGGGCCATTGTCCTCACACTCAGGTCAGGGCACCTCGTGTATAGACCTCCATGCTTTCCTTGTGAGATACTTACCAGTGTGTGTTTCCTGGCCTGCTTCCCCTGTGACAAGCTGTCCTGGAAGACGGGCTGGGGTTTATTAATGTTACATGCCCAGGACATGGTATGGAGTCCATGCTTAGTGAGTGTTGATTTGCAAGTTGGCTGGAGGGAGACTTGGAATGGCTGGTTCACCTGCCTCCCTTTCCTAGGCTTCTGGCTGGTGCTCCCCGGGACCTCTCTGTGGCTGATGGCTACACTAACCGGACTGGTGCTGTGTACCTGTGCCCCCTCACCGCCCTCAAGGACGATTGTGAACGGATGGACATCTCCGAGAAAAGTGAGAAGAGCCTGGGAGCAGAGCTAAGTCAGGAGCCTGGCAGAGGGAGCCCAAAGAGGAGATACAGGGCTAGCTTGTTAGCAAGGCAGGGTGGCTCATACCTATTATCTAACACTTAAGCCTGAGGCAGAAGGACAGCAAGGACAAGGCTAGCTATGGGCTACATAGTGAGTTTCAGAATAGTCTGAGATATATAATGGGGACCCTGACTCAAAAATAAATAAAGCAAAACTGGCACACTACTTGTCCGTCTGGGAAGAGGCGCAGAAAAAAGAGATGATATTGTGAGTTCAGAGCAATGACAGGCAGGACACAGGAGGAGGGAGGCTTTGGGCACTGGAATATGAGGGACCCTAGTTTATGAGCCCTCCCATTCCTACAGGTGACCCCGACCATCACATCATTGAGGACATGTGGCTTGGGGTGACTGTGGCCAGCCAGGGCCCTGCAGGCAGAGTCCTGGTAAGTAAGCACTTAGCATCATCTTTCCAGAACCAGGGAGGACAGACAGCACAGGGTGGTAGGGGACCCTCTGTGCATGGCTGGGGCCTTTGAAAATGTCTATTTCTGTGACCTCATATCTTCATAGGCCTGTGCGTTCCCTGATCCTTGCCTCTGGGAGAGGGTTGTCTGGCACTCTCCCAAGGCTGGACATGGCGTGGGTCCTGTGTGACCTGCATGGATGCTCACCATTCGTGGGAAAGGGCAGAGAGAACTTGGAGGGGGAAAGGGCAGAGTGTGCCCGGGGCAGCTGGGTGCTGGCAGACACTGCTTCCTGGGAGGCTGGCTACCGGAAGAAACACAGCCCTGGTGACCCTGGCTCACCCTGGCACTGATTTGAGTGCCACTCCCTACTGTCAATTGTCACCTTCTGCTGCCGACAATTCTTCAATGTCAGTCCTTGGGGAGATGTCAATTTGTTTCCCAGACTGACATTATTTTGATTTACATAAACTTTACATATAGTGAAAAGGGCAGATACTAACTTTTTGCGAGCTTTGACCAATGAGAGCAGATTTGCATCACTCCAGAAAGTTCTCTGGGCTGCCTGTGAGCAGTCACCACTGCTGTGGCCACCGCTGCTGTGATTTGTGCCTTTGAACACCACCATAAGTTGCAGGTTGGCAGACAGCTCCCCAGACCACCCTTTGTTAATCCCCGTTTGTTTGTGAGTGTGAGTCTAGAAGTTTGTTTAAGTGACTGTATGCTCTAGGATTAGCTACTTACTCACCTTTACTCAGTCAACAAATATTTGGTCAGCACCTACCGTGCTTTGAGCACCAGAAATTTAGCAGTGCCTAAGGAGAAGCGCCTGTGAAATGCTAGTGGCGCTCGCAGCTCTGACTTGACAGAAAAAGCAAATAAACGACAGCGCCACATGTTTTGAGATATTGTATAGCCCGAAGGCTAATTCAGAACACCTTTTACCCCCTGGAAGCTGGCTCTCACTGTCAGACCTGGCTGCCTGGAACTCAGTCTGCAGACCAGACTGGTTTCAAACTGAAAGACCCACCTGCTTCTGCACCCCCAGTCCTGAGTATTTAAGGTGGGTGCCACCATGACTGGCTCAGAGTCCTTTTTAAATTTATAGCTTGGCTTTTTTTTAAATGTTTGTGTTGGCTTTGTTAGGGATCAAACCCAGGGCCTTGAAAATGCTAAACCATGATCAGTCCTAAATCTATTCCACCGATTTCCCCAATAAGTGCATATGATGCGGGACTGGAGAAATGGCTCTGCACTCACCAGAGGACTGGGGTTCAATTCCCAACAACACATGTGGCAGCTCACAACAGTGTGTTAACTCCAGTTCCAGGGGGATCTGATGTCCTCACAACATACATGCAGACAAAATACCTATACACACAAAAAAATATAAAAATAAATGTAAAAGTTACTGTATGAGAAGAGCTTGGACTTGTGCTTGGAATATAGTAAGTGCTCAGTGAGTGTTTACTGCCATCACTAACACTGTTATTTTTATTTTAAATGACCCTTTCATTAAACAGCAGAGTCATTTGGGGATGAGAGAGGCAAGTTCCTAATCTCTGGATAAATAGCTCCTTGTAGACCCAGGAGCCTAAGCCCCATATTCCCTCATCCTTCTCCAATTCCTTTCACCAAGATCTCTCAGCCACTCTCAAATCCGTGCCTTCTGGTCTCCCCAGATCTGTTCCGGATCCTAGATTTCTAAGTAATGGAAAGGGGATACGAGTTTCAGTATCCCCACAGGAAGAAAAAGAAGCCAGAGTTCCTCTTTGGACCTTGGCTCAAAAGGCTAGCAGTGCCCAGGGTAAGAGATACAGCTTGCCACGTGTTTCCTGATCCTGACTAAGGCCACGTGTGTGTGTTTGTGGGTTCCTAGGTCTGTGCCCATCGCTACACCCAGGTGCTATGGTCTGGGATGGAGGACCAGCGTCGTATGGTGGGCAAGTGCTATGTGCGAGGCAATGACTTGCAGCTGGACCCGGGTGACGACTGGCAGACCTACCACAATGAGATGTGCAACAGCAACACTGACTACTTGCAGACGGGCATGTGCCAGCTGGGCACCAGCGGTGGCTTCACACAGAACACTGTGTACTTCGGGGCCCCTGGCGCCTACAACTGGAAAGGTGGGTGCCTGGGAGAAGGAGGGGCAACAACAGCCACCTGTCCCCAGTAAGCCGCTGGGACCAGTCTTTAATTCTGGCTCTCAGGAGGCGGAGGTGGCGCTTCCAGGATGAAAACTCTGTGAGTTCGAGATCTGCCTGGTCTGCAGAGAGTTCCAAGACAGCCAGAGCTACATAAGGAGACCCTGCCTTGGAAACAAGCAAACATAAAAACAAAGTATAGCTGCCTTTAATCCCAGCACTCAGGAGGCAGAGGCAGGCGGATCTCTATGGGTTTGAGGCCAGCCTGGTTTCTAGAGTGAGTTCCAGGACAGGCTCCAAAGCTACACAGAGAAAACCTGTCTCAAAAAAACCAAAGCAACAGCAACAACAACCACCCCCCCCAAAAAAAACCAAGAAAACTCTCACCAATAAATAAATAAGTAAATAAGGAAACAGATAAAATTGTGGCCTGTCTGACATCAGGTCAACCTCTGGAAACTTTTACAAACATGTTTCTGGTACAAATACTAAAATCTTAGCTTTAGGACGAAAATTGCCAACAAAAGAAGTGGCCAGCATTGTCCTGTGATCCCAGCTACTCCGAGGCTGAGGCAGGAAGATGCCACAATCCTGCCTAGGACATTGAGATCAGGCCCAGCATGGGTAATTTAGCAGGACCCTGTTTGAAGATAAAATAAAAAGGGGAGGACAGCACCAAGTTCAATGGTAGAACACTTAACTTAGTTTGTGTGAAGGTCTAAGTCCAATCTTCAGTACAACAAATTAAGAAGGGGAAAAAATAAAAAATGTCCCTCCTCTCCCCCAATCTCCCTCATCCCATTTTTCAGTGTTCCTGGTGTCTTAGGACTCCTTCCATAGTTAGTTTAGTATTTTTGAAAAGATTTATTTATTCATGTATTTTATGTATATGAGAGCTCTTCATGCACATCAGAAGGAATGTGATCCCATTATAGATGGTTGTGAGCCACAATGTGGTTGCTGGGAATTGAACTCAGGACCTCTGGAAAGGTGTTCTTAACTTCTGAGCCATCTCTCCAGCCCTCTATAGGTATCTTCTTAAATACAAACAGAATCAAACTTAATGTTCTGGTCTTCCACTTTCTCTTTTCATTCATTGTAAGTTAAAAGTCATGTTTCAGGTCAATACACACAAGACTGTCTTTTTGAGGTTATAGAAGATTTCACTGTCTTAAGATTCTTGCTTAAAGGGTTGGAGAGATGGATCAGCACCCACAAGTTGGCTAACAACGGTCTGTTATTCTGGTTCCAGGGTATCCAATGACCTCTTCTGGCCTCTGCAGTCACTGCATGCTGGTGGTGTACAGACATACATGTAGACAAAATACCCATACCTATAATCACGTAAACCAAGTATCTGCCAACAATTAGGAGCCGGAGGCCTGAGGATCAGGAGCTCAAGGCCTTCCCGATCCCCTGGACTGGAGTTACAGACCATTGTGTACCACCGTGTGGGTACTGGGAATCGAACCTGGATCTCCTAGAAGAGCAGCAGTCAATGTTCTTGTCCACTGAGCCATCTCTCAGTCAGCCCCACACTCCCATCACAAAATTCTTAAAGAGGAAGTGATTTATCAGCTGGGTGATAGTGGCACATGCCTTTAATCCCAGCAGAGGCAGGTGGATCTCTGAGTTAGAGGCTAGCGTGGTCTACAGAGTGAGTTCCAGGACAGTCAGGGCTACATATAGAAAAACCCTGTCTCAAAAAACAAAAACAACAACAACAACACAAAAGGCAGTGACTTATAAGTGGCATACATAAAAGGGGTTATTGTTATTGTTATGGAAGGTTGCCATGGTAGAGAAAAAAGATAGTGACCAATACTTTCTGCTCCCCTTCCCCAATCTTTCTGCAGGAAACAGCTACATGATTCAGCGGAAGGACTGGGATTTATCCGAATATAGCTACAAGGGTTCAGAGGACCAAGGAAACCTCTATATTGGTAAGCCCTGTGGCCCCCGGGGTGGGGGGGTGGAGGAAGCCAACTTGATCCCTAGTATACTGGCCCTTTTACCTCTGATGTGCTGTGGGGAGAGACTGCAGAGCAGATGCGGCCAGTGGCATTTAGTTCAATTAACACACACTTACTGAGCACCACCAGCGCGTGACACTCTGGTCCAAAGCTTCCAGATGCAAAATTGGCTGTGTCGTGAAGCTGAAAACCCGGTGTGCAAGGGAGGCTATGAGGGGATCTGTAGTCCACGTTTTTGCTCAACTGGCATTGAGGAATAGGAGATAATAGAGGGCGGGCAGCTAGGGGGATAGGTCCAGCGGTGAAGGGGACACATTTACTAGGTCCTTAATTGAATGCCTCCCCAATCCTAGGGTACACGGTGCAGGTAGGCAGTGCCGTCCTCCATCCCACATACATCACTGTTGTGGCGGGTGCCCCACGGCACCAACATATGGGCGCTGTCTTCTTGCTGAGCCAAGAGTCAGGTGGAGACCTGAAGAGGAAGCAGGTGCTGGAGGGCACGCAGGTGGGCGCTTATTTTGGCAGCGCCATTGCTCTGGCAGACCTGAACAATGATGGGTGAGAATCTAAGGACGTGGGGTACCCTCTGGGGCCAGGGAGACAGGTGGGGGTGTGCGGCAGGCTTGCTCAAGCTATGTCAGGGAAGTAGTAGCTTTGCGTTCACACATTGACTGTTTTCAGGGTCTTGTAATCACACTTTCTGGGAGTCCGGCTATTTGCATGTCGTTTGCATGACACCCCTGCTTGCTTGTCTGTACCTGCCATTCATGCCTGTCATTCATGAGGCGCCAATGGTGCAGGGGGAGCTTTTCCGGGTGTGATCTCTGCCTCTGTGGTTTCTCCATGACATGAGTTTTCTATTCGGTGGGTCCTGTTGGCCGTCTAGTGGCCTGTGGTCAGGTGTGTCATTTGCTCAGTTGCACGGCCCTGGGAAAATCATGCTCATTAAATGACCGTTATGTTATATATCAGGGGCCAGCCTCACACTCCCATCCCACTCTTCCCCTGCACAGATGGCAGGACCTCCTGGTGGGTGCACCCTACTACTTTGAACGGAAAGAGGAGGTAGGGGGTGCCGTCTATGTCTTCATGAACCAGGCGGGCACGTCCTTCCCAGATCAACCTTCCCTCCTGCTTCATGGCCCCAGTCGCTCAGCCTTTGGCATCTCTATAGCCAGCATCGGTGACATCAACCAGGATGGATTCCAGGGTATGAGCCCCTGCCCCTCCTTCAGCACCCTCACTGACTGAGCACCAGTTGCACCCCAGGCTTAACAGGACTCACAGCTCAAAGGGACACTAGGCAGGCTGTGCAGAGGATGCTGCAGAGGCTCGCCTTGAGTGGGTGATAAGTGGTCGGGCTGAGAGTGCACAGAAAATAGCAGGCGGCATGAGTATAGGAACTTGCAGTGTAATATACACTACCAAAATGTACACTAGGGACAGGCTGGTGAATGCTCTGAAAGCTGGGCAGAGTAAATGGGGTTTTTCTGTCTGGGTCACAGGGAGAGTAGAGTGGGGAGGAATCCAGAGAAATTGTTGGGGCAGGGATGTTATATGATGGCTTGGTACTTTGGAGGGTGATTCTGGAGGGGTGTGGGATGGAAACCTGGGGAGGTAGAATCAGGGATGTATCATTTCAGGTGATGAGAAAGGGATGGAATAAAGAGGGATCCTTAGTGGCATTGCCTTGTAGGTGTTCTGCAGGACCCGGTGGGGAAGTCACTGGGAGGACACATTAGGGCGTGAGCCGGCTTACTGAGGGAGCACTTAGCTTACCAAACGTCAGTTCTCTGACAACCTGAGTCTCCCAGAACACAGCTGAGAACCAAAGGGAAGGCAGAGGCTCTAAGAGGCAGAAAATGGATGCCAGAAAGGTCAGCCAATGGGCCCAAGCACTTCCCGCAGAAGGTTCAGTGCTTTCAGGCTAGGGTCCACTTACTCTCCCTGACTTCCTGTACAGTTACCCAGGCCTTCTCAGATCAAACGTAGCAGATGAGCCACAAGGATTGAGATCAACAACTGTGTTGAGCTTGAGGAAACATTGCTTAGCCTTTTAAAAATCTTGATACTTGAATGTCCACTATACTGAGCAAAGTGCAATTAGCGTAATATTGTAGTTATAATCCAGTTCCCTGGCTGTGTGACCTTGGGATTTGAGTCTGCTTGTCTATAAAGGGGATAAAGAATAGTAGATACCCCACAGCATCCTCTAAGGCTTAAGTGACATGGATGCTGTGAGTGTTAGCAGTGATCAAGGGGGAGTGGCTTCTTTTCTGATCTTGATAGAAAATGTCATTAGAAGAACCAAGGTGGAAAAATAAAAGAAGAACCAAGGTGTCTGGAGAAATGGTTGATGGGGGGATAGGAAAAAATGGAAACTGGGTTATTCTGGGAAATGTGGGGCGCAGCTCTGTCTGAGGCACTGATCTGCTGTCTGGCTTTGAGGAATTTTCTTCCCCTTTCCCCAGCCTCCATTCCCACCACAGCTCTGAAGCTATGAAGTTCCCTGTTGCTCTGAACAATTCTGCTGGGGTGAGGTCACTGCCATGCTGCGCTCAGTGGCCAGCAGCAGGGGGTGAAAGAGCTAGGGGGCCAGGAATGCCTGCTGATTACTCTATCTTTCCGCCCCAGACATCGCTGTGGGAGCTCCATTTGAGGGCTTGGGCAAGGTGTACATCTACCACAGCAGCTCCGGGGGACTCCTCAGGCAGCCCCAGCAGGTATGAGTGCGTGGTGGTGTCTGGTATCCCCCAGGGCCTCCTCCAAGCATGTCTCAGACCCTGTCCCTCTCACTTCCTCTTGGCTTCAGATAGTCCACGGAGACAAACTAGGACTGCCTGGCTTGTCCACCTTTGGCTACTCTCTGAGTGGAAAGATGGATGTAGATGACAACTCCTATCCAGACCTGCTAGTAGGAAGCCTGTCAGACCACATTGTGCTGCTGCGGTAAGCTAGGAGGCTGTGGGCAGGGGTGCCTCCCTTCTCTCCTCATCTTCACAGAGTCTCAGCCCTGCCCACCTTCTACAGTGATCCACAGAAACTTGAACTCCAGCCCTGGCCTAAGGTAGGCAGGAAATACTAACATCCGCCTGCTTCCTTGTTGCTACAGGGCCCGACCCGTCATCAATATTCTCCAAAGGACCTTGGTGGCCAGGCCAGCTGTGTTGGACCCCTCGCTTTGTACACCTACCTCCTGGTGAGACTGTCAGCCCAGTTATTCCCACCCGCTCCTTATGTCTAGGTAGCCCAGCAAGGCCTCAGGCCCTAAGCCCTTCCCCTGGACACCCCTAATGTCCCCTCATCAGCAGTTGGAGCCAGCAATACCTTCCCTCACCAATGTCTTTTAAAGTCAAAGTTCCTTGCAGGAGCTAATGTGTGAGCACAAGGTTAGGAACAGAAGCTCTGGACCATCTGGCTCAAAGCCCAGTCACTCGTTGCTGGAGGAGGGCAGGGAGGACTCTGAGGAGGGCTGGAAGGAAGGGGAAAGGAATGCTCTTAGATGGATGGGTGTGGAGGAGGAGACTCACCCTGGGCAAATAATTAGCCCGAGTCTCAGATAACATAAAAAAGGTAATAACCAATTCACAGAGTTCTTGAGATAATTAAATGAGATAGTATACAAAAAAGCCCTGAGCAGGGTACTCTGTACCCAAATGTTCAAAAAACAGTTGTGAAGAAAGTGATAAGGACCGGAGTGACCCTGAGGGCTTTTGGTGGATATCAGTCTGATAGCAAAGGGGACTACTGGGCTGAAAAGCAGGGGATGGGTGACAAAAGTAAGATCTGGAGATCCCAAGACCCTGGGCTGGGCCATCGGTGGCCTGCTCCCGCTCCCTGGGCCTCAGTTTCCCCACTAGTGACCTCCAGAAACAGAGGGAGAAGTCACCACAGCTTTGTAGACTCCCCAGCTTTGCTCCCGACTTTCCCCCACAAGGGTCCTGAGTTCCCTTTGCCTAGCACAAGAGTGAGAAGGAGGACACGGCTGTCCCTCCCACTGTGACCAGGCCCTGCTATGCGTCCCCCCAACAGTGTTCAGGTGGAGCTGTGCTTTGCTTACAACCAGAGTGCTGGGAACCCCAGCTACAGGCGGAACATCAGTGAGTGCTGGGCTCAGGGTGCTCGGGTAGGAAGGGTGGTGGGGAGGGAGCTCACCTGCTCCTGCTGACTGCCCGGTCGGTCTGCCTGCAGCCCTGGCTTACACCCTGGAGGCCGACCGTGACCGCCGCCCACCCAGGCTCCGATTTGCCCGCAGCCAGTCAGCTGTCTTCCATGGTTTCTTCTCCATGCCAGAGACGCATTGCCAGACTCTAGAATTACTGCTGATGGTGAGGGAGGAGCTGTGGGGCAGAATGGGGACTCTGAGGTCTCTGGGAGAGGTGGCCAGTGTCCCTCAAAGTCAAAGCTGAGAGACGGGGTATCCCCAAAGACGGGGGACAGGGATTGATGGGGTAGCACACAGCATGTCGCAGATGATAGGAGAGGGATAAGCCCCGGGGCTGGAGATGGGGCCAAGGGTGTATTTCCTTGGAAAAGAGGTGTTGGCTCTCGCCCAGTCTGGAAAGAATGGGTCCCTGACTCAGAACAAGCTCAGTGCCTCTTTGGAGTGTCATGGTGTGGGAGGAAATGAACTCGGAGATCCGTGAAGTAAAGGGGAACCCTTTTCTGGGTAGAAAAAGAGCTCTCTCCCAAGATGGTAGATTAGTGGGAATTCAGCTTACCATGGGGTAGAGAGAACCCCAGTTCCTCCTTGGGGCTTAGTGAGGTAGGAGGATTCAACTTGGGGGCTGGGTTCACTCACCCTCTTCCTCAGGACAATGTCCGTGATAAACTCCGTCCCATCGTTATTGCCATGAACTACTCCTTACCTTTGCGCATGCCCGATCGCCTCAAGCTGGGGATGCGGTCTCTGGATGCCTACCCAGTTCTCAACCAGGCACAGGCTCTAGAGAACCACACTGAGGTGAGCGGGGCCTATTCCGGGCCAGGAGGGTTGTGTGGTCAGGGGGTAATATGGGGTGCAGCCTCCTCAAGTCTCCCACTGTCCCCAGGTCCACTTCCAGAAAGAGTGCGGGCCAGACAACAAGTGCGACAGCAACCTGCAGATGCGAGCAGCCTTCGTGTCTGAGCAGCTGCAGCCTCTAAGCAGGTTATATGGGTGATGCTGATTGATCAAAGGCTAGGCGGAGCCTCATTGACTGGCAGAATTGGGGCAAGGCCTCACTGGCCAGGAGGGTAGGGTGAATGTGGGCAGAGGGGCTTTATTTATTTATTTGTTTGTTTGTTTTTTCGAGGCAGGGTTTCTCTGTATTGTTTTGGAGGCTGTCCTGAAACTAGCTCTGTAGACCAGGCTGGCCTCGAACTCACAGAGATCCGCCTGCCTCTGCCTCTGGAGTGCTGGGATTAAAGGCATGCACCACCGACACCCCTGCCTGCTATGCAGAGGGGCTTTAATGAGCCCTGTTAAGACCTGTTTGGCCCAGCAGTGGCTTTCCCAGCTCTGGAGGCCCGAGGGGCGGAGCCTAGTGGAGGTGGGGCTTTTGGCTTAGTCCAGGTTTGCTCTCTTCAGGCTCCAGTACAGCAGAGACACTAAGAAGCTGTTCTTGAGCATCAATGTGACCAACACGCCGAGCCGCGAGCGCGCTGGGGAAGATGCCCATGAGGCACTGCTCACCTTGGAGGTGCCACCTGCTCTGCTCCTGTCCTCAGTGCGCCCAGTGAGTGCCCACCACCCCGGCTCAGCCCAAACTTGGCTTCCTGCCTTTTTGCATCTCAATGTATCTGACACCTACTTGAATTATCCTTTGGTGTGGTGTGCTCACCTCCTCAGGTACTGAGCTCCCTCTGCTACTTGGGAGACAAGCCTTTAGGAGTTCTAACCGTGCTCCGCAGTAGTTGGAAGACAAGCATAGCCCTATTCTCATTTGATTTCTTTTCTCAGTCTGGGACCTGCCAAGCTAATGAGACCATCCTGTGCGAGCTAGGAAACCCCTTCAAACGGAACCAGAGGGTGAGGCATGGCAACAACCTCCACTCCTGGAGGGTCCTCCGGGCGAGCTCCTAGCCATCTTACCTGCCGGATTCATGGGATTTCTTGAAGCAAAGAACTGAAATATAGGAAGGGAAGGCCCAGCAGGGGGTGAGAAGAGGCCAAGAGACTAAGAAATGAAGCCACTAGGGAGCTATGCATGATTCTTGGGTAGGTACAGGCAAGGAGACCACTTTGGCTAAGTCTTGATGCTGTGCTCACCGATACCCCTAATGCCACCTCTTTTACCTGATGTAATATCTCAGTTTTCCCTGACAGAAAGCTATTTCACAGAATGGGAAACATAGGCTTAGAAAGTTTCAGTAGCCTGCTTAAGGTTGTGTAAAAGTAGCAGAGATCCCCAGCGTAGCAATGATGTCACCTAGAGACAGGGAACCAGGGATGGATAAGGAGGAGGGATGGTGGTCCCTTGCCTAGATCTCCCCATGCCATCGCCCCCTGCTGCGTTTCAATGCCTCTTTCTATTACCCTGACCCTCGTGCTAGATGGAGCTGCTCATTGCCTTTGAGGTCATTGGAGTGACTCTGCACACAAGGGACCTTAAGGCACAGCTACAGCTATCCACGTGAGTGACCCTGTAAAGCTAGTCTGGTCAGGGCTGAGCTCATGCCCTGGGTCTCCTTACCACCTGCATTTTCTCCTCAGGTCAAGTCACCAGGACAACTTGCAGCCCATGACCCTGATTTTGCAGGTGGACTACACGCTCCAGGCCTCACTCAGCTTGTGGGTACCGCTCTGTCCCCCAGTCCTCTGTGCCTGAGCCAGGTCCTTCCTACCCTCAAGATGCCTCTTAAGCTTCTCTGACACTTCTCTTGGTCTGGTGTCCTCCTAGGTCATCTTTTCCTAATAACAATGGCCCCCACGACAGTTGCATAATTATTCTGTCCCTATAGTAGGAGGGACAGAATTTAACACCTGAGGTGAAGGTGGTGGCCTCTGCTCTTTGTTTTGTTTTTTTTTTTTCATTTTACTTTCTTGCTATTTATCTTTGTGTATGTGCATATATGCATGATGTGCATTTGCATGTGCACATGTGAGAATGCAGATATGTGCATGCTGTGGAACACAAGTAGAAGTCAGAGGACCATATGAGGTGTTGGGTCTCACCTACACCTTGTTTGAGGCAGTGGGTGTCCTTGCTGTTGCCTATTGCATATTCCAGAATGCATAGACCAGACTAGCTGGCCTGTGCAAATTCCTCAGGCCGTCTCCTGTCTCCACCACCCATCTCATTAGGAGCCCTTGAATTACAGATACTGCTACCATACTCAGCTTTTAAGTGGATTCTAGGGGGATTTGAACTCAGAACCTCACACTAGCATAGCAAGTGTTTTACCCACTGAGCCGCCTCCCCAGCCTTCCCTTTTTTCTTAGATTTATTTTATTTTATGTGTATGAGTGTTTGGTCTGCATGTATGCATGCATCGTGTGTATACCTGGTGCCCTTGAAGGTCAGAAGAGGCTGTCAGAGCCCCTGAAACTGGAGCTAAAGATGGTTGCTAGCCACCATGTAGGTGCTGAGAACTGGACCCCAGCTCTCTGGAAGAGCAGTAAGTGCTCTGAGCCATCTCTTCAGCCCTTCCCCCACCTTTTTGGGAGCCTGTAGTGTGAACATATCAAAGACATCTTATTGACTTCCTACCATTGCCTTGCACTGTGTCAGGCAAGGAGACTGATGCTCAGATAGGCTCGTTAGTTTGTGTGAGGCCACACAGCTGGTGTGTGGTAGAACTGGGCCTTATGCACCACGGGTCTGTAGCCAACCAGCCTTGGCACTGCAGTCCCCTCTGGCCGGGCTCTGGCCTGCTGTCTGCTTTGACTCCAGTCTTTCTTACCCTAGGATGACACATCGGCTGCAGAGCTTCTTTGGCGGGACAGTGATGGGTGAGGCTGGCATGAAAACTGTGGAGGATGTGGGAAGTCCCCTGAAATATGAATTCCAGGTAAGGGCACCTCAGGGGTCCTGGCTGGAGAGTCTTAGGAGAGGCAATGGGGAGACTGTTCTGGGTCTGGGGTTCAAAACTGGGATGAGTGGGGCTGTTGAGTTGGAGGGAGTTCCCCAAAAGATGGTAACCGTGACAACATGCAGGTCATGTGTGCCCACAGGTGAGCCCAGTGGGAGATGGGCTGGCGGCCTTGGGCACACTGGTCCTAGGTCTGGAGTGGCCCTATGAAGTTACCAATGGCAAGTGGCTGCTGTACCCCACGGAAATCATCATCCATAGCAATGAGTCCTGGCCCTGCCAGCCACCTGGAAACCTTGTCAACCCTCTCAACCTTATCCTCTCTGTAAGTTCGTCAGCAGAGATGTCCCGGGCACATCTCATCTGCATGCCAGAGGACAGAAAGGCCAGTGTCTTCCCCTGCCACTTCCGTCCTCTTTGGGACTCTTTGGGAGCCTGAGTCCCCTCTGTACCTTCCCTCTCCCCTGTCAGCTAGTCTAGCTCTCTCTACCTTCCCAACAAATCTCTGCCCTCTTCAGGACCCTGGAGACAAGCCACATTCTCCACAGCGCAGGCGGAGACAACTGGATCCCGGGGGAGACCAGGGCTCCCCACCTGTCACGCTAGCTGCTGCCAAAAAAGCCAAATCTGAGACTGTGTTGGTGAGTGGCTAGGACAGAGGTGGGGAGGACTTCACAGCGGGTCACAAGCCACGTGGGCGTCAGGGACCCACGAAGCAAGGGAGACAGAGACCACTCACACAGAGACATCAGTCTAAAGAGGTGCTGCGGGTCCGGGAGCCTCCTGACAGAAAAACAGATTTACCTCCCACCCTAAGGGAGAATCCAGCATAATGGACCCAAAAAGGAGCCACTGGCTGGATTCCAAGGCCTCAAACCCTGTTGGGGACCATTTTGCTTGGGCATTTGGGCTGGGGCAGGGCAGGAAGAAGTGTAGAATGGAGTGCCCCATGTAGGAAGATGTTGAGAAGCGAAAATGGGGGCCTAGGGGAGGCCTAACTGGCTAGAGAGGTTGAGGGGTATCCGAAGCCGACAGACGACACCCAGAGTACTTGGCTTGGGAGGGATTTCTGAGGCTGGGACTTGGCAGCCTGAGCAGGAACTTTGCTTCATGTTTGTGTTCTCTGAATCAGGTGAGTTTGGCCCAAGAATGCATTGAACATATGTTGTTTGAGACGTAGAGGAACGTGTATAAGCAAAACGATGGACAGGCCCCGTTGTCACTCAGGGGTGGGATGAAGTCCAGAAGGGTAGAAGGTGAGCAGAGCCAGCGTTAGGTCTGGAGAGCCGGCTGCCTCATGTCTGACTATCTCCTGTCCACCTCAGACCTGTGCCAGTGGCCGCGCCCGCTGTGTGTGGCTGGAGTGCCCCATTCCCGACACCTCAAATGTCACCAATGTGACCGTGAAGGCACGGGTGTGGAACAGCACCTTCATTGAGGTTAGTGCTGGACTCGGAGGTTTCCACTGTCATCCACCTGGGTGAGGGGAGCGGCAGGGAAGGATTGAAACCAGCGCGTGCATGGGTGCGTGTGTGTGTGTGTGTGTGTGTGTGTGTGTGTGTGTGTGTGTGTGTGTGTGTGTGGTGTGAAGCAGTGTCATGTTCTGTATGATCTAATCATTGTGGACCACAACGATGTGTTGGTTGTGTGTCTGTGTGTGAATGTATAATGCTTCCAAAATGGCCCCTCATATGTCCATTACATTCTACATCTGTGCCTTTGCCCTTGGTCCTCCCGGCTGGAATGCCAGCTTTTTTTTCTGTCTCTGTGTGTGAATTCCCTGTTCAGCCATAAGGTCTCCATCAGCCTTCACTTTCATCACTGGGATTCTACCCAACTTCGGCACTGGAGTCCACTCTTCTGAACTGCACACAACTTTCTCAGAAGTTGCGTGGCTTCTCTGTCCTGCTTGGACAGGTTATGATTACTCTCATGGTAGCCTTTTCTTGCTACCTAGTCTGACTAAACTCACTTTCTGGTCTGTGTGATTGGTTTCTGTCATATCTACTCAGTTTCCAACAAGGGATCACAGAAGTCACTGTGGCAAATGAAGGGGTGTGGCTATGTGCCAGAAACAGGTGCTAGGGTAGAGTTAGTCCCTGAGCCTGACCTAGGCTGTGGCCTTCCCCGTCTCTGCCGTCCCAGCATCAGCAGGAAAGCTAGTGCACAGATGAGTGAATGGCATACATTTGGGTGTGTGGAGAGGCTGGATGCCAGGTCCTTTGAGGTACTGAAGCAGGCAGAGTATAGGGTCAGGAGAGATGCTAAGAGAGACTTCAGCTGCTACCTCTGACCCCTTCCTTGTAGGACTACAGAGACTTTGACAGAGTCAGGGTAGATGGCTGGGCCACTTTGTTCCTGCGAACCAGCATCCCTACCATCAACATGGAGAACAAGACCACGTGGGTGAGTAGGTGTGTCTCAGGCCAGGCCCCACAGCCTGGGCATCTCTAAGAGGATGATGATCCTGGGCCGGATGGTACAGGCCTGCCATCCTGGTTTCTTGGAGACAGAACAGAAGAGTCATTAAGTCCCAGGTCTGCCTGGGCTACAGAGTGAATTCAAGGCCAACCTGAACAACTTACTGATATCCTGTCTCAAAACTAAAATTAGTGAGGGGCTGGGAGATGGCTCAGTGGGTAAAGGCCTTGTTCTACAAGCATGGAAACTTCAATTTGGATCCTCAGCACCCGAGCACCTAGTTAAAGGCTGGGCGAGTTGGCATTTGCCTGTAACTTCAGACTGTAGGCCAATTAAGGCAGGTGGATGCTGGGGGCTTGCTGGTCAGCCAATTTAAACAAAACAGCTACTAGTGAGAGACCCTACCTAAAACAAGCAAGCAAACAAACAAACAAACATAGAGCATGATAGAGGAGGATATACAACATTGATCTCTGGCCTCCAAAAGGGCCCACGGACCCACACATGTTTATGTACACATATGTATACATACATACACACACACACACACACACACACACACACACACACTTTTAAGAGAGAGAGAAAGGCGGGTATACTGGTGCATGTCTTTAATCCCATCACTTGAGATGTTGAGGCAAGCAGATCTCTGTGAGTTCAAGGCCAGCCTGGTCTACAGAGTGAGGCCCAGGATGGCCAGGATTACATAGAGAAACCCTGTCTCAATACCCCCCTCATAAGAATAATAAAATAGTAAATAAATAAATAAATAATTTTTAAAGGGATAGCTGTGGTGGAATACACTAGAGGCTGATACAGTGAATTGACCCAAGTTTGAGGCTAGCCTGGGCAACTTAGTGAGCTCAAGGACAGCTTGGGCTACTCTGTCTCACAAAAACCAAAAAATCAAACAAATCCCGAACAATAACAACATGTGTATGTGTGACTGAAAAAGGTGTAGAGCCCCATGGGATAACACATAACACTAAGTGTACAACAAAAAAAATTAAATTGTGAATAGAAGAAAAAAGTCAATATTCTCTCCTTGCCAGATCTTTTCAAATTATTCTGGTCCAAGTAAGATTCTGGAAATTCCAAAGGAAAAAATAGTGTTCTAAGTTACAGCTGGAAAAAGTATGAGAGATTGCTAATAATTTGTTGTGAAAAGGATGTAAATGGAAACACCTAGGAGATATACAGAGTGGGACAAATGGGAGGTTGGTGAAACATTCTATGATACATTTCCTAAAGTAAACCAGGATGAAGAAGCGTGGAGAAAGGGAGAATGAATGAGAAACACAGTCTATGTTACAAACTGTCTCCTCTTCCTCCCTGAGACAGGGTCTCAAGATGTAGTCCTGGCTGGCCTAAAACTTACTTTGTAGATCAGGCTGACCTTGAACTCATGAACTCACAGAGATCCTTGTACCTTTACCTCTTTTTCTTTCTTTTTTTTATTTTTTGGTTTTTTTGAGACAGGGTTTCTCTGTGGCTTTGGAGGCTGTTCTGGAACTTGCTCTTGTAGACCAGGCTGGTCTTGAATTCACAGTGCCTCTGCCTCTTGAGTGCTGGGATTAAAGGCAGGCACCACCATGCCTGGTCTTTTTTAAAAAAGTAAAGTTATTTTTAATGACGATGTGTGGGTGAGTGCAGGCACACATGCTATGGTGTCCTGTGGAGGTCATCCACCTGCCTGCAAGGAAAACACTTTTCCACTTTCACTGGCTCTGAACTGCATTCTCAGCGAGTGGAGAAGAAAGGTCATGACGGCACATGTCTGTAATGCCAGCACTCAGGATGAGGCAGGAGGAGCAAGAGTTCAAGACATTAGAAGAGTTAGAAGAGCTGGGAGGTGGTGGCCCACGCCTTTAATCCCAGCACTCGGGAGGCAGAGGCAGGCAGATCTCTGTGAGTTGGAGACCAGCCTGGTCTACAAGAGCTAGTTCCAGGACAGCCTCCAAAGCCACAGAGAAACCTTGTCTCAAAAAACCAAAAAATAAAAAGAGTTAGAAGAGCACGTTTGAGAAAGACATGTTACCTCCCCCATATGGCCAACAACATGCATTGAGGTTAAATGAAATATTTAAATTTAGGAATTAAATGTGTGCCAAAATAAAGACAGAATAATTTAATCATAACCCTTAATCATGGGGAGAATGAATTATGTATTTGGTTTTTAATTTAAAATTTATTTTATGTGTATGAGTATTTTGCTTGCATTTATGTGTATCACGAGTGTGCAGTGCCTTCAGAGACCAGAAGAAGGCATGATCCCTGGAGCTGGAGCTAACAGACAGTTGTGAGTCACCACGTGGGTACTGAAAATCAAACCTAGGTCTTCCATAAGAGCAACAAGTGTTCTTAACTGCTGAGCTGTCTCTCCAACCCCCATTTTGCTTTGTTTTTTTGACACAGGGTTTCTCTGTGTAGCCCCGGCTGTCCTGGGTCTGACTATGTAGACCAGGCTGGTCTTGAACTCAGAGATCCACCTGCCTCTGCCTCCTGAGTGCATGCAAAAGCTAAAGAACAACTTGTAGGAGCTGGTTCTCTTCTTCCACCATGTGTGCCTGAGCACTCAGACTCAGGTCATCAGGCTTGGCAACAGGCGTGTTTACCTGCTGAGCCATCTCACTGGCGCTATCATTTGTCTGGGGGACATAAGATGTCACTATGTAGCCCAGGCTAGCCATAAACTTTGAGAGTGATACTCTTGTCTCAGCCTTCCACATGCTACTATTACAGGTGTGGGCCATCAGGAGTGGTTTTTACTTCATTAAAGCCCAAAGTTGCAAAGCTTGAACCTGAAAAATCAGCCTATATGAAATTGTATATCCATATACAACGAAAGATGATAAGCTAAAAGGACAAGGTCCAAAGGAACGTGACAAAGTATGGATATATTTTAACATAAAAGGTGATGTAAAAAAGGCAGCATGTGTAAGATGAAATACAAGTATTTACCTTACACATAAATAAATAAAAGAGCAGTGCAGAGATGACTCTGCAGTTAAGAGTGCACAATGTTCGACTGTGTGGTGGCACACGCCTTTGATCCCAGCACTTTGGAGGCAGAGGCAGGTGGATCTCTGTGAGTTCAAGGCCAGCCTGATCTACAGAGCAAGTTCCAGAGCAGGCTCCAAAGCTACACAGAGAAACCCTGTCTTCGGAAAACACAAACAAACAAAAGAGTGCACATTGTTTTTGAGAAAACTTGAGTTCAGTTCCCAGCACACACATCAGGAAGGTCACAACTGCCTGTAACTCTGCCTCCAGCTGATCAGACAATCTCTTCTGAGCTCCATGGGACCCTGCACTCACACGTACGTACCCACACATAATTCAATGAAAGCACATGCATATGCATAACTTAATATAAAAAATAAACCATTTAGTTGAGCATGCTTGTGCACACCTTTAATCCCAGAACTCTAGAGACTGAGGCAGGAGGATCTCTGTGAGGTCAAGGACAGCCTAGTCTACATGGCAAGTTCCAGGGCAGCCATGGCTACAATAGTGAGACCCTGTCTCAAAAAACAAACAAACCAATAAAACCTTAAAAAAAAAAAAAAACAAGAGTTGTTTGCCTGTCTGATTGGAAAATACTAAAGAGAGGAACTCCGCCTGGTGATGGTAGGTGGTGGGAAATGCTACTGACTGGAGTATAAATTGGTGGTTCCTTTGTGAAGATGCATTTGTCAATAGTCATTAAAATTTAAAGCACCCATTCCCTTTCATCCCGCTCACATATTTCAAGGAGCTCACCGAACGAGCATGCAAAAATGAATATGTGGGGGTATTTTAGAGCATTGTTAATAGGGGCAGGGAATTGGAAACGATCTGGATGTCTGTCAGTAGGAGATTGGCTCGATAAAATGTGGTCCATTTCTACGGTGACTGTGCGGTCCTCAGAAGAGATCGTGCTGGCTTTTATCAATTGAGAGGGAAAGATGATGGTATTATTGAAAAAAAATGGGGAAGACGAAGCTTGCAGAAGTGTGCACATAATGTGATCCCATCAACGTGGGGGCAAATGTATTAGATATGTGGAGGTATCTGGGGAGGGCATATGGGTGCATGCCTATAGTCTCGGCACTTAGGAGTTGAGACAGCATTAAAAGTTTGAGGCCAGCCAGGGCTAATAGAACAAGACCTTCTCTCTCTCTCAAAAAAAGTTCTGTACAGAGATTTACTATGCATTCTAGTTATTCATTCATTTTTTGTTCATTCATTCATTTATGAGACAGGGTCACTGTATGTAGTTCTGGCTGTTTTGGAACTCAATATGTAAACCAGGCTGGCTTCAAACTCTGTCTCTGAGTGCTGGGATCAAAGGTGTGGGCCTCCATGCCAGGCTTGTTTGTTTGTTCTTTGGAGGTAGGGCCTCCTATACCCCAGCTGGTCTTGATCCTCTTACCTCCTGCTGGGATCACCAGTGCACACTAACCACTGTTCACTGTGGAAACAGTCCCCCCCCCAGCATCAAATTACTGGAAAATTTTAATTTTCTCTGTTATCTGTTTTTTTAAATCAAAATAATTTTAAAAGAAATGAAAATCACAGTCATCTAGAGAAGTTCTACTCCAATAACTGGAAATTAAAACACTCCAAAATCTGAAATATTTTGAGCAACAAATAAAACAAAACCCAAAGTCTGAAACACTTCTGGTATGGGCTATTTAACTCATGCATACATGAACACACCCATGCTGTTGTTGAGGGAAAAATCATCCTGTTTGCTATGCATTGTTTGCGTTTTTTTTTTTAAATAAGTTTGCCATGAAACAGGTGTTGCTCTGTGCAGTGGATTCATACTAACCATGTTAATCCTGTCCAACAGCCTATGAGGTAGGGGATTATAATTCCCAATTTGCAGATGAATAACAGAGAGGTTGAATAATTTGTTCAAGGATACACAGCTAATGCATAGCAAAGCTGGTCTTGAGCCCAGGTAGCCTGGCTTCCGAATACATGCTTTTGGCCATGCTGCTACTATAAAGTAGCCATTAATGATCTCTTCACCAGAGCACATGAAAGATCCAGACAGATGAAATTGCTAGTCCAAGGTCACACGGTTTATCAGGTTATGATATGCAAGTCCAGATGTGTGGGTCACAAGCTCAGATGCATGCTGCCAGCAGATCTGTGGCTGCCCCTCTGTCCAAATCTGTGCCTAAGAAACTGGACATAAGGACCTACTCTCGTTCATGAATCCTGCTGGGGCTTTTTCTAGTCCGTGACCGCCCCCTACTGTCTGTAGATAAAAATAACAAGGCCATGGGCCCTGTGGGGACAGAAAAGGGAACAGAATGGCGTCTCCGAAGGCTGGCCCCTGTTGAGTCTCATTTCTCTCCTCCAGTTCTCAGTGGACATTGACTCAGAGCTGGTGGAGGAGCTGCCCGCTGAGATTGAGCTGTGGTTGGTGCTTGTGGCCGTGAGTGCCGGGCTGCTGCTGCTGGGGCTCATCATCATCCTGCTGTGGAAGGTAGAGACTCCCAGCCTCCTGGGGCTTCGCACTTCAGACCCCCTGCCAGCGCCAGCACGGCTCACCCACCCTCCCTCCATCCCACGGCTCTGCATCCCATTCCTCACTTCCATCTCAGCTGCCCCTTCCCAGGTCCTGCCCACCCTTCCCCTCAGCTCCCAGTGCCACCCGTGCCTGGGGAAACTGCAGACCACAAAGGGGAGCCCACCAGGCTGGGCCCAGGACTTAGCCTTCCAGGTTCCCCATCTCTAGGCCCAGGCTCCCCGAGTGCTGATGGCCAGGTCTGGCAGCACCGCTGACCCTGACTGGCCATCCCCACCTCCTCCCTCCAGTGCGGCTTCTTCAAGCGAGCCCGCACTCGTGCCCTGTATGAAGCTAAGAGGCAGAAGGCTGAGATGAAGAGCCAGCCGTCAGAGACAGAAAGGCTGACCGACGACTACTGAGGGGGGCCACCCCCCTGCCCCGGCCCACCCGGGTAACGCGGCCTATGGCCTATGGGTCTCCTCTCCACAATCCCAGCTGACTGGGGCCTCCGATTCTGTCTGCTCCTCTTGCCTTAGGGACTGCTTGGATCTCACTTGTCTACTGCCTCAAAGCACAGGCCACCCTGATTGCCCCCTGCGCCCCACCTCCACCTGACTCTCAGGAGCCTAAAATCCCAAGAGCATGCCGGGAAGTCTTTCCAAGGAGTATGCTGCTTTCTGGGGCACTGGGAAAGATAACAGGGCTAGAACCCACCTCTGTCTGATCACCAGGCATGTCCACGATGACTCGAAGCCCTATCCCCTCCCTCAAGGAAGGAGAGAACCAAGAAAAGCCAACCCTTTTTGTCTCTAGTCCTCTCATCTCCCTAGGAAAACCATCTTACCGACCCCTAGCACTGGCCATTGAGATCACCCTGTCTTCCTGGCCCACAATCTCTGCTCTGCATCTGCTTGATCTCCGCCTGCCTCTGTCCTCAGTGCCTTCCTCAGCTCCTCCTTCCTCTGGGACTGGGGTGGGGGTGTTCATCCTCCCATCTCATACTGAGAGGTTGGGACGTTTGAGTTGAGGTCCACTGTAAGGACCATAGGAGTGTGTGTGCTTGGGTGGGGGGCATCTTCTCCCATTTGATTGCTGGATACTGACACAATTTCTCTTCTGCCTAAACTCCAGTGTGACTTCTTTAAGCCGACCCGCTACTACCGGATCATGCCCAAGTACCATGCAGTGCGTATCCGGGAGGAGGAGCGCTACCCGCCTCCGGGAAGCACCCTACCCACCAAGAAGCACTGGGTCACCAGCTGGCAGATTCGGGACCGATACTACTGACTCCCTCCCTGACATCCCTCCCAGCGCTCCCTCCTTTCCTATTTATCATAAATTATGACTCTGACAGTCCAAGGGGGCCACATACTTGGCTGGCACCAGCAGGCTCAGGCATGTGCCCCTCTTCAGTGCAGGCATGTTTTCTGGGGCCCTAGACTCTTCTTCAAGACCTTGCAGTGTGGAGCACAGCACGGCCCTGCACACTGGACACACACACAGGGCCTGTGAAGATACCATGGAGGATGCCATGTCCAAGCCTCTATCTGTGCCAAAACCAAGCCAAAGCGCCTCTACTGGGAGCCACGAGGAAAAGGTCCCTGATGCGGTGACCTCTCTCTTCCACACCGATCCCCCATGAGCCATTGTGCCTGGACGGACTTTATTGTCCAGAATAAAACTACTGACGACAAGGAGACAATCAGCTGCAAGTCCTGGCACCCACTGGAGAGTAGGGCCACACCAGAGGGGATGTTGTTGTGACCTGTATGCTCAGACCCAAAAGCAAAGAACTAAAAAGCAAGTCCCCAGAATGAGCTTTATGAATGGATCTCCAAAACCTTGGCTATAGGTGGAGTTGGCAAGAAACTAAGCCCAAAGGAACAAAGAGAAACCATGGACAGCCTGGACAGACTGTGCTGGGGCTGACCTGGAGCATGGTGGCATCCTTCAGAGAGCAGGGTATCAATCCTGGCCCAGCAGACACTGGCAGGATGCAGAGGACATCCTTCTGACCCGTCCTGGCCTCCTCATCCTGGGCAAGGCCTGGAAGACCCCACAAGACCACGTGGGGGTGTAATACTTGAATGTAAGGCAGGGGAGAGCCCAACCCCTGCCCCAGCTGGCCAGACTTACTCTGCTCTTTTGACCACAGAGATGGTATTCTGAGCTACCTGTGGCTTTCTGAGAAACCTCTCCATGCCTCACCTGCTCCGCTAGGAACTGCATCCCCATTCCAGCAGTGGAGGCTGATTCCCGGGTCCTCTCCCCGTCCCTACCCACAGGCAGGCCCACTCCCCAGCTCTGCCCCTTCACGGTACTATAGCAGCTTCCTACCCTGTGCCTTCTTTGTGTATGGGCTTCTCACTAAAATAAATAAACGGTTCCCAGTTTGTACTGCTGTATCTGCACCTATCCCAGCCCCAGTGCTGACTAAGCTCATTCCCTCTAGAGGGGTGGTGACCTCCCCTAGCTGATCTCTTGATGACGCACTTAGCATCCCGAAGCAAGCCCTGCATGAAGAAATGTGATTCAAGCACTGAGTTCACTTCTTGGAAGTCCAGTTCTAAGGGGAGCACCACGAGGGAGTGCTTTATTTATGTGTCAAGAGTTGTGGCCTGTTAGGGTTGTGTTCATGTGGAAATCGATTGTTTCCATTAATTGCTAGGCTCTGGCTTGGATTTGGTCATGGGGAGGGAGGGGAGTTGAGAATGGGCCACATGCAGCCCAGTCTGGTCTCAAACTATGTAGCTGAGGATGGCCTTGAACTCTTCCTCTCACACAAGCTGGGATATCAGGTTTGTACACAAACTGGCTTTGGAGAGGAGAGAGAGACAGAGAGTTAGTTATCCCATACACTCTGCATGGCCCTTGAAAAATGCACTCACCTGTGTCACTTCATAATTGTTAGGCTGGTAGATGTCTAGGGATCCTCTCTCACAGCCCTGGGGCCTCTCTGCCTACCTCACGTCCCTTTTTACTCTGACTCTTCTACTATGTGCCAGGCACTGTGCCCAGTGCTGTAGATAAAGCGATGACTAGGTCAGACACAACCTGTGCCCTCCCTAAGCTAAAGTCCAGTGGGAAAGACCCATGAATCAGCAGTTAACTCTTAGTGTGAGCAGCTCTCGTGTTTTCCAAGATCAGGGGTCCTAAGGAGGCGTGTAGGGAGCCCACCTCCCAGCCCAGGCTTCCTGGAGGAAGCAGCTGAGGCCTGAAGAGTAGGTACAGGAAGTAAGAAGAGTGAGTCAGACCACCCCCAAAAAAAGATAGGCTTGTCAGTCAGTTGGAGATTGGAGGCTGGGTCAAGGCAGCTGGTAGATCATGTTGGGATTTGAGCAGGGGAATGTGAAAAGATGAGGATAGCCAATGGAGCCAGAGCAGACACTGGGGCAACTGGGAAGGCTCCAGAAGGAAGTGGAAAGGCCAAACGGGAGAGATGGCTCAGCAATTAAGAGTGTTTACTGCCCTTGCCAATGACCGGGGCTGGGCTCCCAGGATCCACATCAGGCCGTTCATAACCACCTGTAACTCCAGTCCCTCTACTGGCTTCCACAGGCACCTGTATGCTCTTGGTATACATGAACTCACTCAGGCACACATAAGTATACACTGTGGATTCTTTTTTAAATTTGTCTTTTCAAGACAGGGTTTCTCTGGGTAGCCCTGGCTGTCCTGGAACTCTCTTTGTAGACTGGCTAGCCTCAAACTCACAAAGATCCACCTGCTTCTGCCTCCCAAGTGCCGGGATTAAAGGCATGGCTCACCATGACCCACTGTTTTTTTGTTTTTGTTTTAAGTGAAAAGACTGTAAGCAGAAAAGCAGCACGGTCAGCTTTGTAGTTGAGAGTGCTTGCCAACTCTGTTTTCCTCGTTATAGAATGGGGATAATAGTAATATAATAGAGCTCTTTGAGAATTAAATCAGAAGCCGAGTGGTAATGGCAGAGGCAGATGAATCTGTGAGTTTGAGGCCAGCCTGGTCTACCGAGCAAGTTCCAGGACAGAGAAACTCTGTCTCAAAACACAAAACAAAACAAAAATTAAAGGAGATAATCCATGCAAACAGTGCCTGGCACACAGCATTGCACTCTCCATAAAGAAGCCTTGTTTTGTCTTGGCTGGAGTTGTTTATATACTGCTACCATTTGCAGTGTGTGGGGTGGGGGGATCCAACCAGTCTTGTACATCCTAGAAAACACTCTACTAGTGAGTTACCACCATGGCAGCACCAGCTCCTCCTCTCACTTTTGAGAGCTCATTCAGTTACCTAGGCTGTACTTGAATTTACCCTACCTCATGTGAGCCTTGAACTGAAATCCTCCTGCCTCAAGCCTCCAGGGCTAACACCAGGCCCTCCTAAAGGCCAACCCTTGATCCTGCCTGTGTTTTGAAACAAGGCATATCCCTTAGCAAGGGTGTGGTAAGGGTGGGTCAATAAGCAAAGAACCAAGGAACACTTGCAGGCCTGGAGAGTAGGAAACATACACGATTTACCAAAAGGGGGCGCATGGCGTTTTGCAGGGTAGAGGCCCGGGCTGCTAGGAATATTGAGCTCCCTAGCTCCTAAGATACTACTGGTAATAAGGAAGCCAGCTGCACAGATGGCTTTGCTTTCTCAGGCTAGGTGCACAAAAGGTTGCCTTCTTACGTGATTGTGCAAGACGTTCAAGGTTTTTATGTTCAGTCAAACGAGCTAGGTAATAATAAAACGAAACTTCCTAAAATAAGCACGGACGGTAGCTCCTGCCTCTGGCTTGCTAGTCCTGAGGGGTTTGGCTCGGAGTGTTTTTGTTGTTGTTTTTCAAGTGTCAGAGATCAATATAGGGCTTCATGCATGCTAAGCAAGTGCCATACCCTCTGAGCTACAGTCCCACCCCAATTTCGGATGTTTTTTCACTTGAAAAAAGAAAACGCCGCCTTTTTCTGGGCCACTTGGATATTTGTGGAAGTCAGCGGGTTCCATGCATATAGGATAGAGTAGTATAGGCTTGCATCCTGGTTCCAAATTTCTCCAAGTGTTCATTCTGCGTCCTTCATAGGAATGGGAAACTACCAAGCGCTCCTATGGCAGAACTGGTGAACATCAAGACAGGTGAAACTGGCGGCGCCTTTAGGAAAGGGGCAAGGCGGGGAAGAAAGGGTCAAAGGAGAGGGAAAGTGAAGGAGGCTGGGGGAAGAAGCCAAGGAAAAGCAAGAGTAGAAAGACAACCGAAGGGTTAGCGGGACTCTGGGAAAGAAGGGGTTAAAGCAGGACTCGCCCCTCAGAAGTCTAGGGGAGTTAGCGGCTGGAGGCGGGACTTGAGCCCAGCGGCGGAAAACAACAGGCCACCTCCAGCACCTACACGGTTAAGGGGGTGGGCCCCAAGAAGAGCCACGTGTCGAAGCACAAGACTATTGGTTATCCCGGAGTTGTTTGTGCGCGGCCATTGGCGACGTCAGGGCGCAGGGACAAACCGATTGGCTAGGCGTTGGAGGTTCAGCCAGGGCAGGGATAGGGAGGAGGGTGGCCGAAGCGCGTTTCCCGGCCGAGCTGGGCCAAGCGGAGGGCCGGTGCCAGCGCCTCCAGCCCCGGGACAGCAGTGCGAACCGAGCCGAAGCCGCGGGCGCCGTCGCGATGCGCTGGATCCGGGCACTGTTGAAGAATGCGTCCCTAGCAGGGGCGCCCAAGTACATCGAGCACTTCAGCAAGTTCTCCCCGTCCCCGCTGTCCATGAAGCAGTTTCTAGACTTCGGTACGGAGTCAGCGTAGGTGGGCACCGGGGGCGGTAGGTGCGGAGACCCTGGCAATGACAGGTTAACGTTCGAGGAAGAGGTTCTGGGTGGCAGGAGGGTTGACTTGGAAGAGTATGGACAGGGATGGGTAAACGACAAGGCAAGCCTGGCTGCCCAGAAAGAGTTAAAGGGTGCCTGCCCCCTTCACACAGTTACTAAGAATGGGGGCTCGGGAAAGGCGTTGGGAGGGGTCATGGAGAGTAAGAGGCAGCGAGGGTTGTAGGGCCTCATCCAGACATGATAGAGCTAATGGGGGATCCTGGCTACTGACAGGAGTAAATAGGGGACCCGCTGCTGGCAGTGCCAGGGAGATCCAGTCGTCGAGAAGACCTGTGCTGTGCACGAAGAGTGGGGTGCTTCTGAGTGAGAGAGAAACCCCGGGGCAGCTGGGAAGGGGGCCCTCTGAGTAGGAGGTGCTGACAGGAGCTCCCCTGACTGGGGAGCCTCCACCCACTGCAGCTGCCCACTGGGCAAGGACACTTGAAGATCAAATCCATTCTGGCTCGGCAGCCAGTTCCTAGCTGGGCAGAGCCCAAGTTACCATGAGGTAGTCAGGTGGCTTACACTCCCCCATGGCTATCCCTGGGTTTCTGAAGATCACCCACTACCAGTGTTCTGGGTGTGGAGGTGGCTTTGGGGCAGGAGAAAGCTGTGCCAAGCGTGTCCCTGTCTGTCTACATGACATTCCCATGTGCCAGCTGGCGATCAGGAGTGGGCCCAGGTCTTTCAAGAGTTGGCTTAGGTTGAAGCTGCGTCACAGATAGGAAGACAGGGAGGTGGCAGACAAGATTTGGGCACCTGTTTTCCAGGCCGTGCCTTTGTTTCTCCTTGTTCTGTTGGAGTCTTGAGCTTTGCAGAGTGTGGGGAGTCCTTCAGGACACACTCTAAAACTCCAGCAAAGCGCCACAGCTGGAAGCGCTTGCAGGAGTCAGGAGAAAACAAAACATCCTCAAAAGGATGGCGACATACCCTTGGTGACAGAAGCAAGGCGTAGTCTTGATCCTAGGTGTCCTGTCTCTAGACTAACGCTGCTCATTCCTCCACTGCCTGTTCCTCTTGACCCGGACCAAGGTCCCCATTTGCTTCACAGATGGTCATTAAACATGGCCAATTCTAATTGGCATCCATCTATCTCATCAGCCTGGGTGAGATGGCTGCCTCAGGGTTGATGCCGAGTTCCTGCAGTCTTGGGAATCTAGGCACAGCACCCCAGGGAGGGAAGGGTTTCTTAGGGACCTCTGTGCCCCGCCCCTAGTCCCCTGGAGAAGTGAGCTGACTTAGGCCAGAAGAGTTCAGAATGAGCCCCAGGCACATCTCGTCTCCCTGGTTAAAGACAAGTGAGGTTTTAGCTGAGGGTCAGTCTCAGGTGCTACTGCTCCTGAAGTGTCCCTGGGGAAGGCTCAAGCACTGCAGCGTCAGCGGTGCTGCCTTACTGTGTGCCGTGGGTAGGCCACTTGCTCATTCCAGCCTGCTCAGTCTCCACATGCCTGCCGGTCCCCATGGTTTGCGGCTATTGATTGACCCTCTCTTACCCTCAGGATCCAGCAATGCCTGCGAGAAAACTTCCTTCACCTTCCTCCGGCAGGAGCTGCCCGTGCGCCTGGCCAACATCATGAAAG